GCATTTCCATAATGATTAAGGATGTTGAGAATCTTTTCATGTGCTTATTGGACATTTGCATCTCTTCTTTGGAGAAATGTATTTTCAAGTCCTTTGCCCATTTTTAAATTTTTTTAAAAGAGATTTTATTTATTTGAGAGAGAGAGTGAGTGAGAGAGAGTGAGCATGAGGGGTTGGGGGGTTGTGAAGAGGGAGAAGCAGAGCAGGGAGCTTGACAAGGGCTCTATCCCAGGACCCTGGGACGACAACCTGAGCTGAAGGCAGACGCCCAACTGATGAGCCACCCAGGCACCCCTGAACCGGTTTTTTCGGGGGGCTCAAACTCACAACCCCAAGATCAAGAGTTGCATGCTCTACAGACTGACCCAGCCAGGTGCCCCATGGGGGTTTTTGTTTGTTTTGCTTTTTCTTGTTGAGTTGTAGTTTTTATATATTCTGAATATTAATCCCTTATCAGATGTGATTTGTAAATATCTTCTCCTATTCTGTGGGTTTTCTTTTCACTCTCTTGATAGTGTCCTTTGATGCACACAAAATTTATAATTTTTTTTTAATTCAGCTCCAAGCCCAGCATGGAGCCCAACATGGGGCTTGAACTGACCACTGTGAGATCAAGACCTAAGTTGAGATCAAGAGCCGGGCACTCAACCAACTGAACTATCCAGGCACCCCAAAAAGTTTTAATTTTGATGAGGATCTAATTTATCTATTTTTTCTTTTGCTACCTGTGCTTTTATGATCATATCCAAGATATCATTACCAAGTGAAATGTCATGAAGATTTTCCCCTATGTTTTAAGAGTTTCATAGTTTTAGCCCTTAAGTTTAGATCTTTGATCCACTTTGAGTTAATTTTTTTAAGATTTATTCATTTATTTTGGAGAGAGAGAGAGAGAGAGAGTAAGCAAACAAGTGGGAAGGGCAGAGGGAGAGAATCTTAAGATTCCATGCTGAGCGCAGAGCCCGAGGCAGGGCTTGATCTCACAACCCTGAGATCATGACCCTGAGATAACAACTTGAGCAGAAATAGAGTTGGACGCTTCACTGATTGCCATTCAGGTGCCCCACTGTGAGTTAATCTTTGTATGGGATATAATTAAGGGTCCAACTTCATTCATATGCATGTGGATATCCAGTTCTCCCAACACCATTTGTTGAAAAAAATTTCTTTTCCCATTAAATTGTCTCGGCCTCCTTGTCAAGAACTAATTGACCATATATGTGAGAGTTTATTTCTGGGCTCCCTATTCCACTGTTGGTCTTTATGCCAATACCACACTGTTTTGATTACTGTAGATTTGTAGTAAGTGTTTAACATCAGAAAGTGTGAGTCCTCCAATGTTGTTCTACATTTCCAAGATTGTTTTGGCTATTCAGGGGTTCCTTGAGATCCAGTATGAATTTTAGGATGAGTTTTTCTAATTTAACAAAAATAGGATAGGAATTGCATTGAATCTTTTTTTCCCACAGTGCTTTTCATCACCTATATACTATATATTTTACTTTCTCTGTTCTATTGTCTGTCTTCTGCATTAGAATTTCGGTTCACTGCTTTATCCCCAACACTTAGAATTCAATAAATCCTGTTATCTGTCAAAAAAAGGAAGGAAGGAAACATTCTTATGTATGTAGCATCTGGCCCATTGCTTGACATATAAAAGATGCTCAGTTAAAACCGGTGAATAAAGTAAAATGCTATTTATATTTTTCACCTAATACATGCTTACAGACATACGTACATTTCTACATTAAAAGTGCTTCTCAACCGCTTGTTTTCATATTGCTTTAGAAAGAATTCTGAGATAATTTAATTCATATAAATTTTTATACTTTAAATAATCCTAAAATTATGTTTATGTACACGTATGGCATATTTTGAAGTTACCTGCAGCTGATTTTATATCATATAGACACTTTATTTCCAAAAGTACTGTTGCTGGCTCCTTAGAACCTATGTAAAATCTAAAGCCTAGCATCATATCACATTAGATTTTTTTTTTTAAGATTTTATTTATTTATTTGACAGAAAGAGTAAGAGAGAGCACACAAGTAGAGGGAGCAGCAGGCAGAGGGAGAGGAAGAAGTAGGCTCCCCACTGATCAGGGAGCCCAATGCGGGACTCAGTCCCAGGACTCTGGAATCATGCCTGAGCTGAAGGCAGCCACTTAACCAACTAAGCCATCCAGGTGCTCATCACATTGGGCTTTTGCCTGTAAAAATAAAATAAAACTCTAATAAATAGTCTACTTAAAAAAAAAAAAAAAGAACATCCCAGACAACTTTGTGACCATTTGATGTAAGGTCTTTTAAATCCCTCCTTTTTAAAAGAACAACAGCTCTCTGCCAAGGCCCCTGACCACCTTGCATGTCTCTACCTAGACATGCCATGTAGGAAAGGCTTGACTGCAGACTGAGTCATGGCAGAATGCCTGGGATTCTTCCTGGAGCAAGCTCACAATCTTTTTTTGTTGGTTTGAGGCGGGGGGGGGGGGGGGGGG